AAAAAAAACAGAACATATGTTAAGCCAATATACATTTTTGAATGAATAAATTGTATCTTCCTACTTCAATGTTCTCTAACCACACTGGCCTTTGTTTCTTGAATATGCCAGGGCTTTTTTTTTATGTAATAACTTTATTGATACATAATTCACATACCATAAAATTCATTTAAAGTGATTTTTAGTATACTCAATTGGGCAACTATCACCACTACCTAATTCCAAAACATTTTTGTCATCCAAAAGAACCCCATTCACACTAGCAGTTGTGCCTCAATCCCCTCTCCCTCAGCCCTAGGCAATTACTGATCCTTGTTTCTCCATGGATTATGTTATTCAGGACAATTCATATAAATGGATCATACAATATGTGGTCTTTTGTGTCTGACTTCTTTCACTTAGCATGTTTTCAAGGTTCATCGATGTAGTATGTGCCAGTATTCCTTTTTATAACCAAATAATATTCCATTGTATGTATATCCAAGCTTTGTTTACTCATTAGATGGTGAACAACTAGTTGATGAACAGTTGGATGATTTCTAGTTTATGTCTAATGCTGCTGTTTACATTTATATGTGTTTTTCTGTGATGAGCATTATCTTCAATTCTCTTGGTATATTCAAGTCCTTTGCCCTTTTTTTTTAAGAGATGGACCTAGCACTCTGGGAGGCCAAGGCGGGCAGATCATTTGAGCTCAGGAGTTTAAGACCAGCCTGAGCAAGAGCGAGACCCCGTCTCTACTAAATAGAAGAAATTAGCTGGACAACTAAAAACATACGTAGAAATTATCTGGAATGGTGGCACATGCCTGTAGTCCAGCTACTTGGGAGGCTGAAGCAGAAGGATTGCTTGAGTCCAGGAGTTTGAGGTTGCTGTGAGCGAGGCTGATGCCATGGCCTCTAGCCAGGCAACAGAGTGAGACTCTGTCTCAAAAAAAAAAAAAAAAAAAGAGACGGGATCTTACTATGTTGCCCAGGCTGGAATGCAGTGGCTATTCACAGGTGTGATCATTAAATCATAGCACACTACACTTGAACTGCTGGCTCAAGCATGATCTTCCCACCTCAGCTCTCCTAAGTAGTGGGGCTACAGGTGTGTGCCACTGTGTCCAGCTTCCCTTTGTCCCGTTTTTACATTGTGTCATCTTCTTATTGTCAACTTATAAGATTCTTTATATATTCTGGATACTAGACCTTTATCAATATATGATGTCAAATATTTTTCCTATTCCATGGGTTGTCTTTACTTTCTTTCTTTTTTCTTTTCTTTGAGACAGAGTCTTACTCTGTTGCTGGGCTAGAGTGCCGTGGCATCAGCCTAGCTCACAGCAACCTCAAACTCCTGGGCTCAAGCAATCCTCCTGCCTCAGCCTCCTGAGTAGCTGGGACTACAGGCCTGTGCCACAATGCCCAGCTAATTTTTTCTATATATTTTTAGTTGGACAATTTCTTTCTATTTCAGTAGAGATGGGGTCTTGCTCTTGTTCAGGCTGGTTTCGAACTCCTGACCTTGAGCAATCCGCCTGCTTCCCAGAGTGCTAGGATTACAGGTGTGAGCCACTGCACCCAGCCTTCACTTTCTTAATGGTGTCCTATGAAGCAGAAACTTTTTAATTTTGGTGAAGTACAATTTATTTTTCTCTCTTGTTTTTGGCGTCATATTTAAGAATCCTTGCTAAATCCAAGGTGTGAGATCTATCCCCACGTTGTTGTTTTTATCAGGAATATTATAGATTTAATATAAATCTTTAAATAGTTCATAACATTCAATCTTTGTGGACTTGGCGGGCATGGTGGCTCACCTGTTAATCCTAGCACCCTGGGAGCCGAGGCAGGTGGATCACTCAAGGTCAGTATTCAAACCAGCTGAACAGAGCGAGACCCCATCTCCACTAAAATATAGAAAGAAATTATTGACCAACTAAAAATATATGAGAAAATTAGCCAGCCTGGTGATGCATACCTGTAGTCCCAGCTACTTGGGAGGCTGAGGCAGGAGGATTGCTTGAGCCCAGGAGTTTGAGGTTGTTGTGAGGAGACTGACACCACGGCACTCTAGCTCAGAACCAAGTGAGACTCTCACTCAAAAAAAAAAAAAAAAAAAGGAAATATCTTGTCATTGATTATTATTGAAATAAATATCAGAGGAAGCTGTGAGGAATTTGTGTCTAAGAATGTGATGTTTTTTTTTTTTTTGAGACAGAGTCTCACTTTGTTGTCCAGGCTAGAGTGAGTGCCATGGCGTCAGCCTAGCTCAGCAACCTCAAACTCCTGGGCTCAAGTATCCTGCTGCCTCAGCCTCCGAGTAGCTGGGACTACAGGCATGCGCCACTATGCCCGGCTAATTTTTTTATATATATCAGTTGGCCAATTATTTCTTTCTGTTTGTATTAGAGATGGGTCTCTCTCTTGCTCAGGCTGGTTTTGAACTCCTGCCTTGAGCAATCCGCCCGCCTCGGCCTCCCAAAAGCTAGGATTACAGGCGTGAGCACAGCGCCTGGCCGAATGTGATGTTTGAAGTTAAAATTGCATGTAATTTTTGTATCAATCTGTCCATATAAATACCAATTGAACAAATGAGCAGCTTTTTGCCCAATGACATATGTATAGCCTTTGGAACAAGAAAAAATCCTGCTTTGACTCAATAGTTTGAGGGTAAGTAATTTATTTATTTATTTTTGAGACAGAGTCTCGATCTGTTGTCCAGGCTAGAGTGCTGTGGCATCAGCCTAGCTCACAGAAACCTCAAACTCCTGGGCTGAAGTGATCCTCCTGCCTCAGCCTCCTGAGTAGCTGGGACTACAGGTGTGCACCACCATGCCTGGTTAGTTTTTTTTTTCTTTCTTTCTATTTTAGTTGCCTGGCTAATTTGTTTCTATTTTTAGTAGAGACTGGGTCTCTTTTGCTGTCGCTGTCTGGAACTCCTCCCCCGCCGCTTCCTGGAGTGCTAGGATTACAGGCATAAGCCACCATTCTTGTCCTTGTATTTCTTTATGCCAGAGGTTGGCAAACTACTGTGTGCTGACTGCAACCATGAGCTAAGAATGGTTTTTACATTTTATTTTTTTTTATTTTTTTTTTTGAGACAGAGTCTCGCTTTGTTGCCGGCGTAGAGTGAGTGCCGTGGCGTCAGCCTAGCTCACAGCAACCTCAAACTCCTGGGCTCGGTGATCCTTCTGCCTCAGCTCCCAGGTAGCTGGGACTACAGGCATGCGCCACCATGCCCGGATTTTATATATATATATTCAGTTGGCCAATTAATTTTTTCTATTTATAGTAGAGACGGGGTCTCGCTCAGGCTGGTTTTGAACTCCTGACCTCGAGCAATCCGCCCGCCTCGGCCTCCAAGAGCTAGGATTACAGGCGTGAGCCACAGCGCCCGGCCTACATTTTATTTATTATTTCTTATTTTTTTTGAGACAGAGTCTCCCTTTGTTGCCCAGGCTAGAGTGAGTGCCGTGGCATCAGCAACCTCAAACTCCTGGGCCCCTGCGTTCCTACTGCCTCAGCTCCCGAGTAGCTGGGACTACAGGCATGCGCCACCATGCCCAGCTAACTTTTTCTTATTTTTAGTTGGTCAATTAATTTATTTCTATTTTTAGTAGAGATAGGGTCTCACTCTTGCTCAAGCTGGTTTTGAACTCCTGACCTTGAGCGAGTCAGGAGCCTGCCTGGGCCTCCCAGAGTGCTAGGATTACAGGTGTGAGCCACCATGCCTGGCCGGTTTTTACATTTTTAAATGTTTGAAAAAAATTCAAGCCAGGAGCAGTGGCTCAAGTCTGTAATCCCAGGGCTTTGGAAGGCCAGGCAAGACGAAGGATTGAGGCCTGGAGTTGAAGACTAGCCTGGGCAACATCACAAGACCCCCTGTCTCTACAAAAGAAAATTAAAAATTAGCTGAGTGTAGTGGCATATGCTTGTAGTCCCAGAGGCTGAGGGAGGAGGATAGCTTGAGTTCAGGAGTTTTAAGCTGCAGTGAGCTGTGATGATGCCACTGAACTCTATCCTAAGCCACAGAGACGCCCCCCCTCTCAAAAAAAAGTTTTATGAACACAGCCACACTCATTCATTTACTGTTGTGTATGGCTGCCTTCTGGTGAGACAGAAGAGTTGAGTAGTTGTGACAAAGACCCCATAGGCCACAAAACCTAAAGCATTTACCTACTTTTAACTCTGTAAGAAAAGTTTGTAGGCTGGGCACAGTGGCTCACGGTTGTAATCAATCCTAGCTAGCACTCTACAAGGCCAAGGCAGGAGTATTGCTTGAGGTCAGGAGTTAAGACCAGCCTGAGCAAGAGCCAGACCCGCTCTCTAGAAAGAAAAAAATATTATTCATTAAAAAAAAAAGTTTGTAGACCTCCCCTTTATGCTCTCTCTCTAGGTTCCAGCCATTCTGGTGCTTTTTATTACGATTTAAATACTAACGATCCCCAGAGTAACATCTGTCCAGATCCCTTCCCCAAGGATGATCAGACATGAATATCCAGCTGCCTACCTCTCATTCCCATTTATATGATTCACCAGATCTCAAAATAAACATGTCCATAACAACTCCTGTCTTAGACCACTCTATCTCAGTAAATGGCCCCAATACTCATCTACGTGATCAAGTGAGAAACTTAGGAATCCCTGACACCTCTCTCTCCCTCAACCTCTATGTCCAACTTATCACCAACCCTTCAAAACAAAACCCAAGTCCACCACTCATTTCCACCTCTACTACCTTCCACCTTTTCCAACGCACCGGCACGCACGTCCCTCATCTGGACTACTGCAGTAGCCTCTGAAACGAGTCTCACAACGTAATTAAAACTATTCTGCTCCCTTCGGCTGTGCCCTAAATCTCTTCCGATTCTGCCAAAAGCGCTCACACCTAACCACGCCGCGGACCCACCTACCCCTCCCAAGGTCGGCAGCGCCGGGCGGGAGTCCGCAGCCAGCAGGACTCTCCCAAGCCCCGAGGGCCTCAGCGCGACAGCAGAAACGTAAGTCATTTCGCCCTCCGTGGTTACGGCCCTCTGAAACAACGTCAAGGGGCGGGACTGCGTTTTACAAACCGGACCGTGAACCTTTGCGTTTTCTCTTTCCAGCCAGCGCCGAGCGATGGGTGAGTGTCGCTCAGCATTGGGGCTATGGGAGTGGGGTAGGGGTGAGCTCAATCCAGCTCCATCCTGCCTGGCAGCCAAGTTAGGAATACAGGAACCCCGACTCCCGGCCGGGAACAACCACAGGGAGGGCTGGCCCTCAGGTTTGGGCCGCCGAGGCCCTTCCCCGGGGGCTGCAAAGGCGTCGGGGTCCGAGCCGCGGGCTGTAGGCTGCGAGCAGCACCAACATGGCTGCCGCGGGCCAGAGGCCGGCTGGGTCGCGCGCGCATGATGACACCTGGGAAATGCTGCAGACTGCCGAGTGCGCAGTGGGGAAGCCAACCTTGGAGAGCTGAGCGTGCGGCCCGCCCGGAGCGGGGGTCTGGAGCTGGCGAGTCGCCAGCACCGAGTTCCCGCGGCTCAGGCTTTCCTCCCCGCTCCCACATACAGGCATCTCTCGGGACAACTGGCACAAGCGCCGCAAGACCGGGGGCAAGAGAAAGCCCTACCACAAGAAGCGGAAGTATGAGCTTGGGCGCCCCGCTGCCAACACAAAGGTGTGTGCGCCTGACCGGCCCGAAGGTCTTCCTTTGCCCTCCAGCGTGGTCGGGTCTCCGTGTGGCTTCCCCCTGGGGCTCTGATTTTTTCATAGTAGGAGCTGAGCAGCTGCCTACCTGGAGAGAGTATGCTCTCAGTCCCCTGCCCCCAGCTTAGGGGCTGATGGAGACAGATAACAGAGTGGTGGGACTTGGAGAGCACCTGGAGAGGTGAGCTCCTCTCGTGACAGTCAGAAACCTGGGAATTCTGTTGCACAGAGACTTAATTTTCAGTGTTTTGGGGTCAACGCTTTCCTCATTGAGGTAACTGGAGTGATGAAAAAATTATCCTTAGGCATGGTTGTGGCCGTCTTGGTCACGTGTGTGCCATTTGCCAATGCAAGGACATGTCATAGTTACACTGACTATGTTGCCTCCATCCAGCCCAGGTTCCACTCCCTCTCTTACCTTGCTCTCCTTGGTAACCTGGTTCCTGTCTCCCTGTGTTTTCCAGATTGGCCCCCGCCGCATACACACAGTCCGTGTGCGGGGAGGTAACAAGAAGTACCGTGCCCTGAGGCTGGACGTGGGGAACTTCTCCTGGGGCTCAGAGTGTGAGTGAGCCCCTTGAGGAGTGGGTGGGAAGGCACCTAAACCTTCCTAAGCTTCAGTAAGTGCTTTTAGCAGGAAGTCTATGGCCTTCACCAAGGTACTTGAAATAATTTCTCCTTGCTGAAAAACCTTGAGGTACCTGGAGTTCTCTCTACCCAGACTTTCCTACCTTGTTCTCTTAGCTCTGCAGCCTGAGGGGTTGGGGCTATTTCTAGTGACTCGTGGTAGCCAAACACTTCTAAAAAGATGAGTGTGGAACACCAGCCGATGTTCCATGGCTGAGTGAAAGCTCATAGTGCTTCTCCTTAAAGGCCCTGCTAAGGGAGAATTGCCTGGGGAGGTGCAGCAAGATAGGTTGGCCTCTGGTTTACCTGATTTGATTCTGAATTTCCCGTGAGCAGGTTGTACTCGGAAAACGAGGATCATTGATGTTGTCTACAATGCGTCCAATAACGAGCTGGTCCGCACCAAAACCTTGGTGAAGAACTGCATCGTGCTTATTGACAGCACACCGTACCGACAGTGGTACGAGTCCCACTATGCACTGCCCCTGGGCCGCAAGAAGGGGGCCAAGCTGGTGTGTATTACTTTCCTGTGGGGGGTGGATTGGGCAGCCTGAGTCCAGCCTTCTTATGATGAAAGCTTAGTCCAGTTCTGCTACTGAAGGGAGAGAGATGAAAGCTTTTAATGCTGAAGAAGGCCATTGTTGGGCTGTGGGGTTCAAGAATGACCTTCCCTGCGCTAATCCAACTATGTTCCCTTTATTCAGACTCCTGAGGAAGAAGAAATTTTAAACAAAAAACGATCCAAAAAAATTCAGAAGAAATATGATGAAAGGAAAAAGTCAAACTCCTGGGCTCAAGCAATCCTCCTGCCTCAGCCTCCTGAGTAGCTGGGACTACAGGCCTGTGCCACAATGCCCAGCTAATTTTTTCTATATATTTTTAGTTGGACAATTTCTTTCTATTTCAGTAGAGATGGGGTCTTGCTCTTGTTCAGGCTGGTTTCGAACTCCTGACCTTGAGCAATCCGCCTGCTTCCCAGAGTGCTAGGATTACAGGTGTGAGCCACTGCACCCAGCCTTCACTTTCTTAATGGTGTCCTATGAAGCAGAAACTTTTTAATTTTGGTGAAGTACAATTTATTTTTTCTCTCCTTGTGTTTTGGCGTCATATTTAAGAATCCATTGCTAAATCCAAGGTGTGAAGATCTATCCCCACGTTGTTGTTTTTATCAGGAATATTATAGATTTTAATATAAAACTCTTTAAATAGTTCATAACATTCAATCTTGTGGACATTGGCCGGGCATGGTGGCTCACACCTGTAATCCTAGCACCCTGGGAGGCCGAGGCAGGTGGATCACTCAAGGTCAGTAGTTCAAAACCAGCCTGAACAAGAGCGAGACCCCATCTCCACTAAAATATAGAAAGAAATTAATTGACCAACTAAAAATATATAGAGAAAATTAGCCAGGCCTGGTGATGCATACCTGTAGTCCCAGCTACTTGGGAGGCTGAGGCAGGAGGATTGCTTGAGCCCAGGAGTTTGAGGTTGTTGTGAGGGAGACTGACACCAAGGCACTCTAGCTCAGGCAACCAAGTGAGACTCTCACTCAAAAAAAAAAAAAAAAAAAGGAAATATCATTTGTACATTGATATATTATTGAAATAAATATCAGAGGAAGCTGTGAGGAATTTGTGTCTAAGAATGTGATGTTTTTTTTTTTTTTGAGACAGAGTCTCCTTTGTTGTCCAGGCTAGAGTGAGTTGCGCATGCGTCGCTAGCTACAGCAACCTCAAACTCCTGGGCTCAAGATCCTGCTGCCTCAGCCTCCCGAGTAGCTGGACTACAGGCATGCGCCACTATGCCCGGCTAATTTTTTTATATATATTCAGTTGGCCAATTAATTTCTTTTGTTTATAGTAGAGATGGGTCTCTCTCTGCTCAGGCTGGTTTTGAATCCCTGACCTTGAGCAATCCGCCCGCCTCGGCCTCCCAAGAGCTAGGATTACAGGCGTGAGCACAGCCCTGGCCGAATGTGATGTTTTGAAAGTTAAAATTGCATGTAATTTTTTGTATCAAATCTGTCCATATAAATACCAATTGAACAAATGAAGCACAGCATTTTTGCCAATGACATATATGATATAGCCTTTGGAACAAGAAAAAATCCTGCTTTGACTCAATAGTTTGAGGGTAAGTAATTTATTTATTTATTTTTGAGACAGAGTCTCGATCTGTTGTCCAGGCTAGAGTGCTGTGGCATCAGCCTAGCTCACAGAAACCTCAAACTCCTGGGCTGAAGTGATCCTCCTGCTCAGCCTCCTGAGTAGCTGGGATACAGGTGTCCCACCATGCCTGGTTAGTTTTTTTTTTCTTTCTTTCTATTTTAGTTGCCTGGCTAATTTGTTTCTATTTTTAGTAGAGACTGGGTCTCGCTTTTGCTGATGCTGTCTGGAATCCTCCCCCGCCGCTTCCTGGAGTGCTAGGATTACAGCATAAGCCACCATTCTTGTCCTTGTATATTCTTTTGCCAGAGGTGGCAAACTACTGTGCTGACTGAAACATGAGCTAAGAATGTTTTACATTTTTATTTTTTTTTATTTTTTTTTTTTTGAGACAGAGTCTCGCTTTGTTGCCCCGGCTAGAGTGAGTGCCTGGCGTCAGCCTAGCTCACAGCAACCTCAACTCCTGGGCTCGTGATCCTTCTGCCTCAGCCTCCCAGGTAGCTGGGACTACAGGCATGCGCCACCATGCCCGGCTAATTTTATATATATATATAGTTGGCCAATTAATTTTTCGTATTTATAGTAGAGACGGGTCTCGCTCAGGGTGGTTTTGAACTCCTGACCTCGAGCAATCCGCCCGCCTCGGCCTCCAAGGCTAGGATTACAGGCGTGAGCCACAGCGCCCGGCTACATTTTATTATTATTTCATTATTTTTTTTGAGACAGAGTTCCCTTGTTGCCCAGGCTAGAGTGAGTGCCGTGGCATCAGCAACTCAAACTCCTGGGCCCCTGCGTTCCTTACTGCCTCAGCCTCCCGAGTAGCTGGACTACAGGCATGCGACCATGCCCAGCTACTTTCTAATATATTTAGTCGTCACTATTAATTTAATTTCTATTGTTTAGTAGAGATAGAGGTCTCACTCTTGCTCAGGCTCGGTTTTGAACTCCTGACCTGAGCGAGTCAGGAGCCTGCCTGGGCTCCCGAGTGCTAGGATTACAGTGTGAGCCACCATGCCTGGCCAGTTTTTACATTTTTAAATGTTTGAAAAAAAATTCAAGCCAGAGCAGTGGCTCAAGTCTGTAATCCCAGGGCTTTGGAGGCCAGGCAAGACGAAATTGATGGCCTGGAGTTGAGACATAGCCCTGAAACACATCACAAAGACCCCCTGTCTCTACAAAAGAAAATTAAAAAATTAGCTGAGTGTGGGCATAGCTTGTAGTCCCAGAGCTAGAGAGGGAGATAGCTTGGTTCAGGAGTTTTAAGCTGCAGTGAGCTGCTGTATGCCACTGAACTCTATCCTAAGCCACAGAGACGCCCCACTCTCAAAAAAAAATTTTATGAACACAGCCAAACTCATATCTTACTGTTGTGTATGGCTGCCTTCTGGTGAGACAGAAAGATGAGTAGTTGGACAGAGACCCCATAGGCCACAAAACCAAGCCTTTCACCTTACTTTTAACTCTGAGAAAAGTTTGTAGTTGGGCACAGTGGCTCACGGTTAGTAATCAATACAGCTAGCACCTCTAACGCCAAGCAGGAGGATTGCTTGAGTCAGGAGTTAAGACCAGCCTGAGCAAGAGCAGACCCGGTTCTAAAAAGAAAAAAATATAAATATTCATTAAAAAAAGTTTGTAGACTCCCTTATGCTCTCTCTAGGTTCAGCCATCTGGTGCTTTTTATTACGATTTAAAATACCACTACCCCAGAGTATACATCCTGTCCAGATTCCCCTCATCCCAAGATATCAGACATACTGAAATACAGCTGCCATACCTCTCAAAATTTCCCATTTATATGATTCACCAGATCTCAAAATAAACATGCTCCATAACAACTCTGTTCTTAGCACTCTATCTCGTAAATGGCCCCATACTCGATGCACTCACTCTAGCCTAGACAACAAAGCGAGACTCTGTCTCAAAAAAAAAAAAAGTAAAAAAAAAAACAAAAAAAACAGAACATATGTTAAGCCCAATATACATTTTTGAATGAATAAATTGTATCTCCTACCATTCAATGTTCTCTAACCACACTGGCCTTTGTTTCTTGAATATGCCAGGGCTTTTTTTTTATGTAATAACTTTATTGATACATAATTCACATACCATAAAATTCATTTAAAGTGATTTTTAGTATACTCAATTGGGCAACTATCACCACTACCTAATTCCAAAACATTTTTGTCATCCAAAAAGAAACCCCATTCACACTAGCAGTTGTGCCTCAATCCCCTCTCCCCTCAGCCCTAGGCAATTACTGATCCTTGTTTCTCCATGGATTATGTTATTCAGGACAATTCATATAAATAGAATCATACAATATGTGGTCTTTTGTGTCTGACTTCTTTCACTTAGCATGTTTTCAAGGTTCATCGATGTAGTATGTGCCAGTATTCCTTTTTATAACCAAATAATATTCCATTGTATGTATATACCAAGCTTTGTTTACTCATTAGATGGTGAACAACTAGTTGATGAACAGTTGGATGATTTCTAGTTTATGTCTAATGCTGCTGTTTACATTTATATGTGTTTTTCTGTGATGAGCATATATCTTCAATTCTCTTGGATATATTCAAGTCCTTTGCCCTTTTTCTTTAAGAGATAGGACCTAGCACTCTGGGAGGCCAAGGCGGGCAGATCATTTGAGCTCAGGAGTTCAAGACCAGCCTGAGCAAGAGCGAGACCCCGTCTCTACTAAAAATAGAAAGAAATTAGCTGGACAACTAAAAACATACGTAGAAAAAATTATCTGGGAATGGTGGCACATGCCTGTAGTCCCAGCTACTTGGGAGGCTGAAGCAGAAGGATTGCTTGAGTCCAGGAGTTTGAGGTTGCTGTGAGCTAGGCTGATGCCATGGCACTCTAGCCCAGGCAACAGAGTGAGACTCTGTCTCAAAAAAAAAAAAGAGACGGGATCTTACTATGTTGCCCAGGCTGGAATGCAGTGGCTATTCACAGGTGTGATCATATAATCATAGCACACTACACTTGAACTGCTGGCTCAAGCATGATCTTCCCACCTCAGCCTCCTAAGTAGTTGGGGCTACAGGTGTGTGCCACTGTGTCCAGCTTCCCTTTGTCCCTTTTTACATTGTGTCATCTTCTTATTGTCAACTTATAAGAGTTCTTTATATATTCTGGATACTAGACCTTTATCAAATATATGATTTGCAAATATTTTTCCTTATTCCATGGGTTGTCTTTTCACTTTCTTTCTTTTTTTCTTTTTCTTTTGAGACAGAGTCTTACTCTGTTGCCTGGGCTAGAGTGCCGTGGCATCAGCCTAGCTCACAGCAACCTCAAACTCCTGGGCTCAAGCAATCCTCCTGCCTCAGCGCTCCGAGTAGCTGGGGACTTACAGGCCGTGCCACGAATGGCCCGCAGCTAATTTTTCAAATTTTTAGTTGGACAATTTCTTCTTATTCAAGTAGAGGATGGGTCTTGCTCTTGTTCAGGCCTTGCGGTTTCGAACTCCTGACCCTTGGAGCAAATCGCCTGTCCAGAGTGCTAGGATTACAGGGTGCTGAGCCACTGCCACCCGCCACTTTCTTAATTTGCGTGTCCTTATTGAAGGCAGAAACTTTTTACATTGTGTGGTGACGTTACCATTATTCTTTGCCTCCTGTGTCTTTGCGTCACTATTTAGAATCCAATTGCTAATCCAAGAGGTGGTGAAGAGTTGCTATCCCCACGGTTTGGTTTTTATCAGGAATATTATTGATTTTAATAGGGATAAACTCTTTAATAAGTTCATAACATTCAATCTTGGTGGCATTGGGGGCATGGTGGCTCACACCTGTAATTCCCAGCACCTGGAGAGGCGAGGCAGGTGGATCACTCAAGGTTTCAGTAGTTTCAAAACCAGCCTGAAGCAAGAGCGGATGACCCCCATCTCCACTAAAATTTAGAAGAAATAATTGGACCAACTAAAGAAGTTTGTTTTTTATATAGAGAAAATTTGTCATGGTTCCTGTTGATTTGTTTTGTGGTTTGTATCCTGTGTCCCAGCTACTGGAGAGGCTGAGGCAGGAAGGATTTGTTGAGCCCAGAGTTGGAGGTTGTTGTGAGGGAGGACTGACACCAGCGCGCACTCTAAGCTCAGGCAACCAAGGTGAGACTCCCTCAAAAAAAAAAAAAAAAAAAAAGGAATATCATTTTACGAGTGATATTATTGAAATAAATATCATTGAGGGAAGCTGTGAGCGAGATGTTGTGGTTAAGGGTAATGGGGTGGATGTTTTTTTTTTTTTTTTGAGACAGAGGGTCTCACTTTTTGGTCCAGGCGTAGGAGTGGAGTGCCATGGGGCGTCAGCCTAGCTGCACAGCAAACCTCGAAACTCTGCGGGGCTCAAGTAATCCTGCTGCCTCAGAGTCCTCCCGAGTTAGCTGGGACTACAGGGGCATGCCGCCCCACTCATGCCCCGGCTATTTTTTTTGAATATAGTATATCAGTTGGCCAATAATGTTCTTTCTGTTTATAGTAGAGGGATGTGGGCTCTCTCTCGTTGGCTCAGGCTGGTTTTGACACTCCGTTGGACTTGAGCAATTCCGCGCACGCTCTCGCGCCTCCCAAGGCAGCTAGGATTACAGCGGGGTGAGCCACAGCCGCGGCTGGCCGCAATGTTTTTGATGTTTTTGAAAGCTGTTAAAATTGGCATGTGAATTTGCTGGTTTGTATAAATCCTGTCGTCATTATAACATACCAACCCTCTCCGACAAAATGAAGGCACGACATTTTGCCACATGCCACATATGCTTATATAGGCCTCTTGAACAAGAAAAGAATCCTGCTTTTGCTCAATAGTTTTGAGGGCTAGCTAATTTGAGTTTATTATATTTTAAGACAGAGGTCTCGGCATCTGTTGGTCCAGGGCGTAGGAGGTGCTGGTGGCATCAGCCCCTAGCTCACAGAAACCTCAAATCCTGCGCGCTGAAGTGTATCCTCCTTGCCTCAGCCCCTCTGGAGCCTAGCTGGGCACTGACAGGGTGTGCCACCACCCACGCCCGGGTTAGTTTTTTTTTTCTTTCTTGTCTGATTTTAGTTGCCTGGGTAATTTGCCTTTCCGTATTTTTAGGCTTTAGAGATCTGGGTCTCGCTTTTGCCCTGATGCTGGGTCTGCGAACTCCTCCCCGCCGCCTTCCTGAGCTGCTAGAGTTACAGGCATAAGCCACCATTCTTGTCCTGTAGTTTTCTTTATGCCAGGAAGGGTTGCGCAAACTAACTTGTGGCTGACTGCAATAACCATGGCAGCCTAAGGAATGGGGTTTCATTTACATTTTTATTTTTTTTCTTTATTTTTTTTTTGTTGAGACAGCAGTCTCGCTTTGTTGCCCGCGGCTAGGAGCTGGGAGTTGGCCGGTGGCCGTCGAGGGCTAGCTCACAGCAACCTCAAACTCCTGGGCCTCGGAGTGCACCTTCTGCCCTCAGCCCTCCCAGAGGGTAGCTGGGACTACAGGCAGTGCGCCACCGATGCCCGGTAATTTCGTCATTATATATACATTGCCAATTTATTTTTCTATTATTAACGCGTCTCCTCACTTTTTAACTCCTATCCTCGACATCCCCCTCCTCCCAACAATTACATGGACCACACCCCGCCTACATTTCTATTTTATTATTTATTATTTTTTACACAGATCTCCTTTTTCCCGCTAGATGATGCCGTGGCCATCACAACCTCAAAACTCCTGCCGCCCCTGCGTTCCCTACTCCTCACCTCCCGAGTAGCTGGAGTACGAGGCCATGGCCGCCCACCGATGCCCCAGGCTAACGTTTTCTGTATATATTTTTACGTTCGTCAATTAATTATTTCCGGTATTTTTAGTAAATAGTCTCACTCTTGGCCTCAGGGCTGGGTTGTCGAGATCCTGGACCTAGCGAGTCAGAGCCTGCCCTTGCGGCCCTTCCCCAGAGAAACCCTCGGCTAGGCATTTTTTACAGGGTGTGGAGCCGACCATGCCCCTGGCAGTTTTTACATTTTAAATGTTGAAAAAAAAATTCAAGCAACAGCTGGCCTCAAGTCTGTAATCCACCTTGTGCGAAGGCCACCCAAACGAAGGATTGGAGGCCTGATTAAACTCAGCCTTCAACATCACAAGACCCGCTCTATCAAAAAAAGATTAAAAATTAGCGAGTGTATCATATCTTGTAGTCCAGAGCCTGATTGGGAGGAGGATAGCTTGAGTTCAGGAGTTTTAAGCTGCGAGTGAGCTGTGATGGATGCCGCACTGAAACTCTATCCTAAGCCCCCCCCCAGAGCACGGCCGCCCGCCCTCTCAAAAAAAAGTGTTTATGAACACACCAACGTTCATTCCATTTACTGTGGTTGATGCGCTGCCTTCTGGCGCTGAGACTAGAAGGAGGGGTTGAGTAGTTGGTGACAGAACCCCCATAGGGCCACCAAAACCTAAAGCCATGTTACCTACTTTAAACTCTGGGTAAAGTTGAAAAGGTTTGTATTGGGCTGCGCGCCACAGGCTGCTCAACGGTTTGCCCCTAATCAATACCTAGCTAGCCACTGCTACAAGGCCAAGGGCAGGGAGGATTGCCTTGGATTCGGTCAGGAGGTTGAGGACCAGCCTGGAGCCAAGAGCGAGACGCCGGCCTCTCTAGAAAAGAAAAAAATATTATTCACCTTAAAAGAGGGAAAAAGTTTGTAGACCTCCCCTTTATGCTCTCTCTCTAGCGTTTCCAGCCATTCTCCGTCTTTTTTGATTACGGATTTAAATACCGAACGATCCCCAGAGTAACACTCTGTCCAGCATCCCTTCCCCAAGTTTGTATGATCAGACGATGATATCCAGCTGCCTACCTCTCATTCCCATTATATATGATTCACCAGATCTCAAATAAACATGCTCCATAACAACTGCCTTGTCTTAGACCTCTGTATCTCAGTAAATGGCCCCAAACTGCATCTACGTGATCAGGTGGAGGGAAACTTTAGGAATCCCTGACACCTCTCGTTCTCCCTCAACCTCTAGTGCTCCAACTCTATCACCAACCCTTCAACAAACAAAACCCAAGTCCCCACTCATTTACCACCTCTACTTACCTTCCACCTTTTCCAACGCCACCGGCACGCCCACGCTCCCTCATTCTACTACCTGCAGTAGCCTCTGAAACGGGGAGCCTCTCGACAGAGCTAATTAAACTTTTTTTCTGCCTCCCTTCGCCTGGGCTGGGTCCAAAATCTTCTTCCTGGATTCTGCCAAAAGCGGGCTCACACCTAGCCACGCCGCGCCGACCCACCCTACCCCTCTCCAAGGTCGGGCCAACGCCCGGGCGGGGAGGCTCCGCCAGCCAGAAGGACATCTCCCAAGCCCCAGGGAGGCGCCTCAGCGCGACAGCAGAAACGTACAGTCATTTCGCCCTCCGGTTGGTTACGGCCCTCTGAAACAACGGGGTCAAGGGGCGGGGACTGGCGTTTTTTACAACCGGGACCGCTGAACGCTTTGCCGTTTTCTCTTTCCAGCAGCGCCGATGCGGATTGGCGGTGCAGTGGCTCCGCCTCAGGCATACCTGGGGCCTTCATGGGGAGTGCGGGGTAGGGGGTTGGAGCTCAATCCAGCTCCATCTGCCTGCCTGGCAGCCGAGTTAGGAATACAGGAAACCCCGCACTTCCCGGGCCGGAACAACCACAGGAGGCTGGCCCTCAGGTTTGCCCCGGCCGCCGAGCGCCTTCCCCGGGGCGGCTGCAAAGGGCGGTCGGCGTCCGAGGCCGCGCGGCTGTACGGCCTGTAGGCTGCAGCGGCCACCAACATGGGCTGGCGGCGGGCCCACGAGCCGGCTTGTCGCCGCGGCATGATGACACCTGGAAAAAAGAAGGTGCTGCCAGGGGACTGCCGGCAGCTGCGCGAGTGGGGGGGAAGCCAACCTCTGCGGAGGAGCTTAGCCGGTGCGGCCCCGCCCGAGCGGGGTCTTGGAGCTGGCGAGTTTCGCCAGACCGGAGCTTCCCGCGGCTCAGGCTTTCCTCCCCCGGTCTCCCACATACAGGGCAGTCCTCGGGACAGACTGGCACCAAAGCGCCGCAAGGACCGGGGCAAGGAGAAAGCCCTACCACAAGAAGCGCGAAGTATGAGCGGTTGGGGGCGCCCCCGCTGCCAACAAAAGTGTGTGGGCCCCTGACCGGCCCGAAGGTTGCTTCCTTTGCCCCTCCGCAGCCGTGTTTTTTTCTCCGTTCTCCGTGGTCCTTCCCCCTGGGGCCCTCTGATTTTTTCATAGGGTGTAGATCTGGAGCAGGCTGCCGTACCCGGGAGAGAGTGATCCTTCTCAGCTCCCCTGCCCCCAGCGTTAGGCGCTGCATCGAGACATGATAACAAAGTTGGACTTGGAGGCACCTGGAGAGGTGAGCTCCTCTCGGGTGACAGTAGGAAACCTGGGATATTCTGTCTGGCACAGAGACTCTAAGTTTTCATTTGTGGTTTGGGTCAACGCTTTGGCTCATTTGGAGCGTAACTTGGGAGTGATGAAAAAATTATCCTTAAAAAAACGCCATGGGTCTGTGGCCGTCTGTCCACGGTGGTGCTTTTTTTTTTGTTTTTTCTGCCATTGCCCAATGCAAAGGACATGTCGATACGTTACACGTGGCATATGGTGCCTCCTCCAGCCCAGGCTTCCACTCCTCTCCTTACCTTGCTCTCCCTTTTGTAACTCTTGGCTTCCTGTCTGCCCTGGTTTTCCAGGATTGCGGCCCCCGCCCGCCAACACACAGTCCGTGTGCCGGGGACCAGTCAACAAGAGAGTACCGTGCCCTGCACGGCCTGGACGGTGGGGCGCGAACTGTCCTCCTGGGGCCCTCATTTGGAGTGTGAGGTGGAGGCCCCTTGGAGGAGGTGGGGGTGGGCGGAAGGCACCGCTAAACTTCCTAAGTTCAGTAAGTGCCTTTTAGCAGGAGAGTTCTTATGGCCGCTTCACCAACGGTACTTGGCAAATTTCTCCTTTCTGAAAAACCTTGCATGTACCTTGCGTGAGTTCTCTCTGCCAGGACTGTCCTACCTTGTCTCTTAGCTTCTGCAGCCTGGAGGGGTTGGGTGATTTCTAGTGACTCTGTAGATAGCCAAACCACTAATAACAATAAAAACATGAGTGTGGAACACAGCACGAAAATATTCCAGGCTGAGTGAAAGACTCATAGTGTTCTCACTTAAAGCCCTGATTAAAAGGAAAATTGGCATGGGAAGGTAAGCGGAAGATAGGTTGCCCCTGGTTTACCGATTAATTGATTAATAAAACTGAATTTCCCAAGTAGAGCAGATATGATCATCAGAAACGAAGAATCATTGATGTTGTCTACAATGCGTACCAAAAGAATAACGAGATGAGTACGCAAACCAAACCATAATAGGAGAGAACATGCAACAGAGCTATATATGACAGAACAACGTAACCGACATTGGTACGAGTCCACTATGCCACTGCCCTGGGGCGCCAAGAGGGAAGCCAAGCTGGTGTGATAATTACTTTCCATGTGGGGGGTGGATGGGGCAGCCATGAGTCCAGCAAACTCTCTATGATGAAAGCTTAGTTCCAGTTGACTGCTACTGGAAGGGAGAGAGATGAAAGCTTTTAATGCTGAAGAAGCGCATTGTTGGGCATGTGGGGGGTTCAAGAATGACCTTCCCTGCAGCTAATCCAAAACTATGTCCCTTATATTGCAAAGAACATCCTGAGAAGAAAGAATTTTAATACTTAAAAATTCGATCCAAAAAAATATCAGAAGAAATATGATGAGGATAATAGAATGCCCAAAATACAGAAGTCTTTTGAGGAGCAGTTTCAGCAGGGGGCAAGCTTTCGGGTGAGATGCTGTTGTAAGTAATGGGGTCTCTCCGGTGGTGGGGGTCCAAAAGATTTTCGGTGGTGCTTGGCCTGTGTTTGTGCCTTGCCTCAGTTAATTGGACTGCCCACCATGAGGTCTAGAGGGTTCACCCAGAGAGTTTAATGACAACAAACTATAAGCACAAATGGGAACATTTGGTTACCCTATTAGTGTGAAACTGAAATGGGAAGGAAACATTGTGTATGTAAAATATGGTGTTTACATGGAGCTTGGAGTTTTAAAGGGGCTGTCTCAGTGATGAAAACATTGTCCAGTTCTGCTACTGACTTTAAGTGACGATAAAGTATGTCTGAGGAGACAGCAGTGGGCTTTGTGCCTGCCCCCCCGGTACCTGAGGCAACATAGACTCATAAGGGGATAGATAGGTATTGGATTCGGGGATCATTTGATCATTTTGCTAAGGTCTTGTATATAATCTGTATAGCGCATTGCATTGCCTCCAGACCGGGCCAGTGTGGCCGAGCAGATGGCTATGTGCTAGAGGGCAAGGAGCTGGAGTTCTACCTGAGGAAAATCAAGGCCCGGAAAGGCAAATAACTCCTCCTCTCTCCTGTCTTAGTTCATGTAATAAAGGTGTTTATTGTTCTATCTGCTGTGCTAGTTTGTCTGAGTATTTGTTGCTCTGTCCTCTGGTTCCCTGTCCTGAGCAAAATTGGTGGCTACAATTACTTCCCTGCCTCTACCTCCTGCTGTCCACATAGGGTGTCCATGCCACACTGAGAGTCCCCATTGGTCACAACTCTACCTCCCTGAAGGCCTGGGCTATGCTGTTTTTTCCTGTATTGCTAGGAAAATCAGTTAAGTTTTTAACCTGAATTCATGGACGGTCTGGAAACTTGAAATTGTGTTCAGAGTTCATTACTGTGTTGCTGAGAGCATGTCATTCACATATTTGCATGTTAGTATCTTGTCTGCTTTAGAGGGCTTTCTATATCTTTGTTTTCTCTTGAGCTCTATAATCTCTCACCATCTGGAAATTTAAAATATTTAGGGTTACCATTGACTTAATGCATTGCTAAATCTAAGGATCACTTTTGTCCTCAACTCGCCCTATCAAACACTTTTTTGAGATAGTTTCACTGTTTCCAAAGAGTGCCATGGCATCAACCTAGCTCACAGCAACCTCAAACTACTGGGCTCAAGGCGATCCTCCTGCCTTAGTCTCCTGAGTAGCTGGGACTACAGGCATGTACCACCATACCCAGCTAATTTTTTCTATATGTATTTTTAGTTGTCCAATTTCTATTTTTAGTAGAGATGGGGTCTCTTGCTCAGGCTAGTTTAAAACTTCTGACCTTGAGTGATCCTCCCAACTCAGCCTCCCAGAGTACTAGGATTACAGGCATGAGCCACCATGCTCGGCCAAGGATCAGATTTTTGATGCAGCAATTTCCCATCTCAAATAAAAATCCTTACCAAGTACTATGGCAACTCTAGTTGACTACACAACCATCCTGACCCTACTGAACATACACGTTCAGTTCATGTACTATTATTACCCCTTGTGGGATATGCTCCCCAAATATCCACGTGGCTCATTCCCTTAAGGTCTTTGCTGTCACCCTAGCAAGTTCTTACCTGATCACAATATTTAAATTGCAGTCACTCCTTCCATGCTGTCTTATACTTTGCCCACTTTTTTCTCCTTATCCCTTAACCTAACAAATTTTGCTCATTTTATTTGCTTGTCTATTTTGCTCTCCTCCCATTGGAAAGTTACTGTAGGGAAACAAGAATATTTGTTTCCTGCTGTATCCCAGGCACCTGGAAAAGTGACAGTATACCAGGTACTCAAATATGTGCAAAATGAATTGAGAAGCAAACAGATTTTACCAAGTTTAAAGTTGATGGGAGCCGGACGCGGTGGCGCGCGCCTGTAGTCCCAGCTACAAAAAAAAAAAAAAAAAAAGTTGATGGGAAATTAAAGTGTGTGTATGTGTGTATATATATCTCAAGGGCCAAAGAAGTGCAAAATCCAAGGGGTTCATCAGCTTGGCTTAATTGCAGACTTCTATGAATAGACAATTGGGAAAGTTAATTAGGAGATCAATTCCCTCTGAGTACAAAAACTGCCCTAAAGATTAAAAAAAAAAAACTTACCTGGCTTTCACACTCAGTGCCAATGTTTACTGACAACTATGTGTCTTACAGCATAGCAAAGCAATGCTCAGCACTTAGCTTCTTCTACAAGGCATCTATTTCTTTGCCCTGGCTAGAGTGCTGTGGCATCAGCTTAGCTCACAGCAACCTCAAAGTCTGAGCTCAAGCGATCCTTCTGTCTCAGCCTCCTGAGTAGCTGGGACTACAGGCACGCGCCACCATGCCCAGCTAATTTTTTTCTGTATGTTTTTAATTGGCCAATTAATTTCTATTTTTAGTAGAGACAGGGTCTTCCTCTTGCTAGTTTGAACTCCTGACCTTGAGCAATCTGCCCATCTTGGCCTCCCAGAGTGCTAGGATTACAGGTGTGAGCCACCACACATCTATTTCTATTCCTCACCCTCCCTTACTTCTACCTCTAATCCATCAGTAAGACCAGTGGGTCCTTTCTCTAAAGAGTCTGGAATCCACCTACTCCCTATCTCCACTGCCTTCACAGGTGACCATTCTTGCCCTGGAACATGGCTATCTTCTCCCTGTAAGACCTGCAAAAAAACTCAAATATCTTCTGAATGAATGGCTACCATTGTGGGGTGTAGCTGTCTCCACACTTCCTTTGTTCTGACATTTGTTATTTGGCCTTAAATCCAGTTTCAGCATTCACCAATTTTTTTTTTAGGTGGAGGCTGGAGCTTAGGCAGGAATCAATTTCACAATTCCAATCTACAACTCTGTTAGAGCTGTTCCACAAGGCCCTTCTCTAACCCTCAACTGAGTGCTCCAGTGCTGCAGGCCCACCACGGAGATGGACCTGTGTTTCCACCCATAAACTGTCCTTTCTCCTGCCGTTAGGTTGGTGGGAATGGAGAAGGGTTTGGACACTAATGTCCAAACATTGAAGGTCATGGGTGGGTAGCATAGGACTATCATCACGTATGAGTTTAATCAGCCTCAGGGCAGATTCCCAAATCTTACTTCATCTTCATCCTACTGTGTGCATGCCAATTCAATTTTTAAACAACTACAATTACACGGGGGGGGGGGGGGGGGGGGAGGTGGAAAAAAAAAACAATTACAATTACAGAAGTAATAAATGCATATATTCTTTTTTTTTTTTTTTTTTTTTGAGACAGAGTCTCACTTTTGTTGCCCAGGCTAGAGTGAGTGCCGTGGCGTCAGCCTAGCTCACAGCAACCTCAAACTCCTGGGCTCAAGCGATCCTCCTGCCTCAGCCTCCCGAGTAGCTGGGACTACAGGCATGCACCACCATGCCCGGCTAATTTTTTGTATATATATACTTTTAGTTGGTCAATTAATTTCTTTCTATTTTTAGTAGAGACGGGGTCTCGCTCAGGCTGGTTTCCCGACCTCGAGCAATCCGCCCGCCTCGGCCTCCCAGAGTGCTAGGATTACAGGCGTGAGCCACCGCGCCCGGCCTCATATATTCTTATTGTAAACAAAAATTTGAACATTACAGCTAAAGTAAAAGTCCTGCAGCACACATACTGGCCCATTTTCTGAGTAAGGCTATCAGGGTAAGGTATATTATCCTTTCAAACATTTTTTAATGCACCAGTCTCAAATTATGATCCCCGGACCAGCAGCACAGCATCACCTGGGAACTTGTTAGAAATGCAAATTATTGGGCTCCATCCCAAATCCAATGCCCCAGAAACGCTGGGGGTGGAGCCCAGCACTCTCCAGACCAGACCTTCAGTGATGCTGATGCTCCCTCAAAGTAGAACCACTGGCCTGGCTCCCGGCTGCTGAGAAGCTAACCGTGCATCTGGGATCTTGTCCTTTGTGCCTGGTCTCATTTATCCTTCTAGCTCCGCTTCCCGCAAGCGACCCATCCTACCTTCTCTCCCGCCAAAGTGGACACAGTCCCAGCCCTGGCACAGGCCCTTCCCACCATCTTCTCTTTCAGGGTCCGGGCTCAAGGCACACGGGAAAAGCCGCTGTAACAGCGCTGGCGGGCAGGACGGGGCACGGCGGGAGGTGGCAGTGGGGAGTGGGGTAACCGGGGGCGGGCAGGCGGGCAGCCCCTTAGGGCTCCAGGGCCTTGTCCCCGGACTCCGCCGCCTCCTCCTCCTCGATGCGGGCCGCGGCCTCGGGGTCGTCGCGCTCCTCGGCCCGGAAGCGCAGCAGATGCGGGGTCCGGGGGGCGCCTCGCGCGCGGCCGAAGTTCCGGAGGCTGATGGCTGGGGAGGGCGCCCCTGCGCCCAGGAAGCGGCCGAGCAGCGGGGTCTGCGCGGCGGGCGCGGGCCAAGGCGACGCCGGGGACGCCTCCACCTGCAGGCTCTGCTCAGGGTCGTCGCTCACGCTGCGGGAGGGAGGGCGGGCTGAGCGAGACGCGGCTGCGTCCGGGGCGGGCCGCGGGGACCGACCGAGTCATTGGTGCTCCAGAGGGTGGGCGGGGACCCGCGTGCCGGCTCAAGCGCGGCCTTGACCAGCGCAGGCCACTCACCGCAGATTGAAGGTGGAGCCCAGGAAGGAAGGCCGCAGCGACTCCGCCGCCGTGGCCACGGTGTAGGGTGGCTGCGGCTGGTCCTCGTCCCAGTACAGGTCCTTCTCGGCGAGGGGCAGGTTCTGGTACATGTCATCCACGGATAGCAGGGACACCTGGCAGCAGAGGGGCGGACAGCAGGTCACAAGGATCCTCCTCTCCACACCTGAGTTGAGAGCTGTCCCCCAAACCTCTGCTCACCTGCAAGTTACGGTCTATGAGCTGATTAGTCTCAAAGTCATCATCATCCTCACCAAAGGGGTTGATGATCTGCTCGGCCACCTGTAGGTTGCAGAGCCAGTATTTTCTAGGCTCAGAGCCCCACTTTGTCCCCAAAGTTGGGGTGGACCCTGTGCCCACGTCTCTACTGAGCAGTTTGACATGACTATGAAGTGCTCACCTTGAGCCAGCCAGCATAGAAGAAGAACTGCAGCAGAGTGGTGAGAGGCACGTACATGTCCAGGTCTCCTAAGGCCAGCGCAGGCTCCTGGCCTGGCCCTGGAGGGTCCTGAGGTTTGGTAGCGCCTGCCTCTGGCTCCACAAACTGGCGGCCAACCAGGGAGAGGGCAAAGAAGGAGTAGACAGCTATGGTCACTACCTGGAGAAGGAAGAGCCAGGCTCAGAGTTGGCGCAGTGGGAAAGGGAGAAAGGCTGCCTCTGAGGATCTGTTGTGAGTCTGACAAGTAATTAAATAAGGATCAGGGTGTGGCAGCAGCCTTGGGGACAGGGCCATCTTGGTGGGGGTGAAGGGAGGCTCAGAGGATGAACCTGTGGCTGTTCTGCGCCTCAGGGACCTGAACTGGGCAGACAAGTACCATCTCTAATTCTTCTCAGCATCTCACACACAGCACAGGACATACAGTAGGCACTGGGACAGGGGAGATAGGAGGCAGTTACTTGGGTATAGACGAGGGGGATGCTGATCCAGTCATAGTGGAACAGCATGCTGCACTTGGCACGGTACTTGTTCAGCTCCTGGTGAAACAA